TAAAATGACTACAAGCGCATAATATTCTCCCACAAACGCGTACCAAAGCTACATGGGTATCACCGGATCACACAACACAGAATCAGATAGGTTATTTTTGCATCACTGAAGGACGTGGTGACCAAGAGAGAAGATGAGATAACTTCAAATCACCACCTAGTGGTTATCAAGAAGAAACTGAAGTTAAAGAAGTAATTGACAAGTGGGGAAACAGCATTACAAAGGTTCAATACAGACTTCATTTGACATACTGACAAACTCAACGAATTCAAGATAATTTTCAACAATAGGTTCCAAGCCATACAAGATCTACTAAAAATAGAGTAAACTACAATGGACGACAATCGGAAAAGGATCAAAGAAGGACTGACTTCAATGTGTCAGGAGGTTCTGAGATGAAAGAAGCATCACCTCGAAAAATGGATTTCTCTGGAAACCGTAGACAAGATTCAGTGAAGAAAGAACAAGAAGACAGCAATTAAAAACAGCCGAAGTAAACAACCAAGTGAAGAGGAGCATCAGAGCCGACAAGCAGAAATAAATGAAAAAGATAGCAGTGATAGCGGAGAAGGCTGCAAGAGAAGGAAATGTAAGACAATCACATGAAACTAGCAGAGAAATATGGCAAACCAGAGAGACCTGCAAAAGATAAAGAAGGCAAGCCAATCACTAAGATTAAAGGACATAGGAACAATTGGGAAGGACACTGAATGAATGCTGCCGAAACACTGAAGTCAGACACAGAATTAACTGCAAGTGTTCTTCACATCCTATTTATGAAGATTCGGGAGGAAGAGTAAGTGCCGACGGATTGGAAGGAAGAATACCAAAGGAGGTAATGTGAGAACTACAGAGGCATCATACAATAATCAGTACGAGGAATAGTTTTCAACAATGTTGTTGAAGCGAATGAAAGACTTAGTAGACGCCAGACTTCAAGGTCAACAAGATGGATTCCATAAGGAGTAACTGTATACAAACCAGATTACAACACTATGGACCATCACTAAACAATCAAGTGAATGGAACTCATCACCATAATATTAACTTCGTTGACTGTGAGAATGCTTTTGACGGTTTGGATAAAAGGATTTAACGAAGTCTTCTTCAACTATGGTGTACCTGAAACGATCATCAATATCACATGAATTTATACGACGGACTACACCACAAAGTGATGCATGGAAGACAGCTGACAGACTCATTCCAAGTTGGAACCGGAATCAGACATGTCTGCTTACTCTCCCCTCTTCTCTTTCTTCTGTTGGTTAGCTGAATTATGAAGATCTCGACATCTAACGATAATCACGGAATACAATCAACAATTTTGGTGAGACTAGACGATTTGGACTTTGTAGATGACCTGACCCTTCTATTTCATACACACCAACAAGCACAGGTTAAGACAGCCACTGTAGCCACAGCGTCTAAATCAATAGCCCTTAGTATACAGAAGGGAAAAAGCAAGTTCTTGAAATACAACTTACAGAGAACCAACCCAACCACACTTGGTGGAGAAACTTTGGAAGAGGTGGTAAGTTTCACTTATCTGGGTAACATCGTCGTCGATGAACATGGAGGATCTGATGCAGGTGTGAAGGCAAGGAATAGCAAATCACGGATAATATTCTTACGGTTGAAAAACATGTGGAAGTCAGAACAACGGCAAACCAATGTCAAGATCAGAATCTTCAATATGAATATCAAGACGGTCCTACTGTCTGGTGCTAAAACATGGAGAACTATCACAACCATCATGAAGAATGTGCAGGCATTTGTGAACAATTGTTTACGCAAGATACTCAATGTCCGTTAGCCGGATTCCATCAGTAACAGCTCGCTATGGAAGAAAACATATAACTTCCAGGTGAATAGGAAATTTGGAAAAGACTCTGGAGGCGGATAGGGGATACATTGCGAAAATCATCAAACTGCATTACGAGGCTAGCGCTAACTTGAACTGTATTAATGCAGGAATATTATTGTATACTTTTTAGGTAGGTCACGTACCGTCTTTTTAAATGATAATGTTGAACTCTACAAAAATATCGACTATAGTAGCATTATGAATTGCAAACTTAATCACTTGTAACATCGTTTTTCAACAACATGATCTTTGAAGCGCAGCATACAGTAACTGATAAGAGTTACATTGACCATTTAGCGCTTGAGGAAGGTCAGTAATATTGATCCCGGAAACACTTAATCGAGACCGTTTGGTTAGGTTATAAAGGCGTAGTCGCCCTACTTATCATCTTGTATATTACATCAAATATATTATCTCATCACTAGTTTAAATGTGTTCTTCAAAGCCTATCACAACACAACCTCTGAGTGTCACAACAGGACTAGTCAGTATTGACAATGATATGACTTCAACACAGGATCTTATAGACTAGGTATTCATGCCATGGAAAGTCCACAACATTGGGTTAGGTCCACTGTTCTTGCTGCGTAGATCAATCTACTAAAACAGTCCTAGACTTAACTACTCCAAGGTCGATCACAGTTCGTTAAAAAGTATACTTAAATCAATAAAAACATCGTTAATAAGAGTATTCAACATTATTTGCCTAATTGTTTGTTACAACAATGAGTCTTTCCAATCCTGTAAGTGTACTTCAATCAACAATAAAAAACGAACAATTTTAATCAGTTCTGAAGTACAATCAAAACCAACGTAGATATAGTCCGTAAAATTTATATAAATTCAATAGAAATGTATGAAAGTCAGAAAATGCAATGACAAACCGGTAGTCGTCCCAACAAGGATCACTGTAATATACAGCTGAGGAGATCAAGAAGAACAGCTTCATACATAAAAGTTAAGCAACGGGTTAAATTACAGCAAGTACGTGAAAGAGCTTTAATTCGCACTCACATTCAGCTTTCAAAAAGAGATATTACAACCACTTTATTCTAGAAATATATATTCGTCACCGTTGAGGAGTTACAGTTCGTCATGATTTAAGGCTCTGGTTTAATTCAATTCCAAGTTGCTGTGCTCGTCAAGAGTCGTTTCACTGGGATCAATTCATTAAGTTTATTTTGAATATTATCGACGATAGCCAGTGTATCATCCAATTCATATTTTACATGAATAGCTATTTTGTATGCTATACATAATGTTTGTAGTCTTGATGAATAGGGTTCAAATTAATTTCCTAGCATAATGGATAGATGGGATGGCATTATGTTAAACACTTAGAACTGTTCCAGAATATTGTCGTGTTGGCTCAGAAAACGCAGGTTGATTGTAATAGGCTGACATGAAGTTCTTTGCGCTCTAATTACTTTTCGATCTTATGCGGAAGGGTTTAAAGGATAGTCGTGAAACCCTAACAGTTTGGGTCTCTCTGAGCCAAAGATAATTGTCCAGAGTTCATTCAAGTCCGGCAAATCCCAACATAAACTATCAACCAGAATATATTGATAACCCAGGAACCTTGTCATCACAACCCTAATTAATTCAAAGTTTCTTTGAATGTTCCGATAACGAACCACATGTTTTAAGAACATTTTATTAGATCTAAACCTCAAACATTGGGTTGCTCACATTATTTATTCACCCTCTTTAGATGTTTTTGAAAGTGACGTTAGGCCTCTATTTTACCTCGAGTTGTCTGAACACTTGCATAGTCTCTAGCGATAATAAAACTCATCCAATTTTTATAGGCACTCTCATGTCATTTTTTTGTTTTGATGCCAATTAAGCACTCCAATTAGACTCTTTGATATAGCATCCTCATCGACGCTACCTAACTATAGGAATGATATCATTACGTAGCACCTTATCATGGAGAGCAAATTATTTGACAGGACTTAAGGAGTGACTTACTTCAATAAGTCGCAAAGACCTTGTATCAACGGAAAACATCAGTTCATAATTTAAAGTGTTCTGATAAATTACTGCTTGTCATTTAATAGGCGTCTTCCCTTGGTTAATCTGAGCGTAAACAGAGTGACTGTTAGTGTCGTTAGTTTACATTAATATTTTATGCCTATCAGGTATTTGTTTATAAAGCTTCATCAACTCCTTGCTTTAACTTTAGATAGCGTTTTTATTTTTGCACTCAAGAGATCTAACATCTTTGAATGCTGACCAGCCGTTGTAAACAGCAGGCCTAAAGATGATGCCTGACGTCCTGACTATCATGATTTAGAGGTGTCCGTTGTATGGCACTGTGAATTATTTAAAAATTATGTTTCTGCTGAGTGTTAGTATCGAATCCTCGTGAGTTAAATGTATGGTCTATGTAGTGCTAACACCTTGAAAACTAAAACTATCTGAGTGTAGAAGATTTTTCACTGAGGCATCTGTATAAATACTGGTCTTGTAATATCCCTACTCCTCGTTTATTATTCTCTATCCCTTTTGAATCTTGCAACGACTACTTCGGTGTAGTTAACATCAAAGTACAAGTACATTTACATAAGCCTTATGATGCTCGACTTGACATGAAAATATAGATTTTGAGCATATGCTATTTTAACTCTGATATCTGATCTTGCCACAGTATTTGTTTTCTAAATATATCTCATCAGGTATAAGCTATTAATTTTGGTTAAAATCGTCAAAAAACTATTTATACCGTGACCAACCCACAGAAATGTTTTGCATTACTAGTATGTCAATGATATTTACTCAAAAGAAAAAAGTTTTACAAATTCATCATCTGGTATTATTATTTTCCAGCAAATGGCAAAATAATTTGAAAAAGAGAACCTTGTGTTTTTCCTAAATTCACGAACAATCGCTGAAGAAGGTAGTTTTCTAGTAATAAATCAAAAAAACAGACAGGACAAAACATGGAAGCGAGTCATTGTTAGTTATGTTTCAGCAACACATTGAAGAACCAATTATATTCCGATTTTGTGTCGAAGTACGTCCTGACCATTCGTAATCATAGATAATTCCAAAATATTTGTGATAGCTATAAAGTTGAATAGTAAAATGTGACTCCTATCACATTTGTTTATTACGATATATGATGGCTTCCATAATTGAGAATTGAGCACTTTGTTTGAAGTTGTGCTTTTTTGAGAAATTACCCTTAGGAAATGGCTGCGAGATACCGAGATGTTGGCACGAAGGTATATATTGGTGACCTCCCTAGAGAGGCATCTGAACGAGAACTAGAACGCATATTCCGAGAGTACGGAAGGTTGCGTAACGTATGGGTTGCGAGAAACCCACCTGGCTTTGCTTTTGTTGAATTCGAAGATGCTGCAGATGCCAGCGATGCGGTGCGTGAACTCGACGGAACGTAAGTAGACATTTGTCGCTTCATTTAGTATGTTTAGAGTTATGTGTGGTGTCCGCGCCCGTGTTGAATTGAGCACTGGAAAGTCGCGACAGAAGCCCTGGGTGCGTGGAGGTGGGGGTGCGCGTAATGGTGGGGGACGTGACAATGGAATTGGTTCTCGCCGTATGAAACCGTTTGACCCAACAGATCGGTGTTACGAGTGTGGAGAACGCGGGCATTATGCCTACGATTGTCGTCGTCGAGGTGGTGGGCCGGGAGGTCCAAATGGACGCAGCAGGCCTGAAGGCCGAAGAAGGTCGAGGTAATTCATCTTACTCGCATGTCGTCTGGTATCGTCTCGGCTACCATGATACGTTATCAACTGTATCAGTTTTGTCATCCAAGTACGACATCCTTAGACTATATCGACATCCTATCTCGCAGTGTAACAGCTCAGTCAAATGCTGGTGCTCTAATTTCCGTAGCGGTGACTCGTCACTAGCACACGGAATGTACTATGAAAAGACTGGTCTCCATAGGCACTTCATTCAAAATTGGCATCTTTGACTTCATTGCGGCGGGCATAAACTGCCTTACATCTCGGCATCTGTGAGCCGTCGACATCGTCGTCGTGACTACAGACAGCCTCTAAAGTTAACGTCCGTAGAGACCTACAGCTTGTTTTCCTTCATGCCTAAACGTGTAAGTGCCTAGTTTCATAGATTATCGATATGTAACGGTTACCACTGGTTATTGTTTTAGACATCATTCTTAATGTTCTTTCCTTTCAGATCTGTATCAAACCATAGAAGTTTCTCCAGAAGCCGCAGTCGTTGATGTAAATGGGGTTCGCAGGTTTACAATGCATTTCACTTCAAATCCAAAATTGTCCAGGTCGCATCATGCCGTTTTTTTAATCCAAAATATAATTATTACTCATAACGTCTTTTAGTCTCCTAGATTTCGTTTGTTAATTTGTCGCCTCAATACTTATAACCCGCTTACAGCTTGAAATTCGCAAGATAAGTTAGATGCTAAATCTACTTGTAAGAAAACAGTTTTTTTTGAGGCAAGTAAACAATTTTAGGCCTTAATGGGTTCATTAAGAGTTGGAGATACTCGTAAGCAACTAGTATTTCATCACAGATGCCTTAGAGATATTGCTTTCATTTACTGAGATCACCGGGTAAGTAATAGTGAGGTTAGACGTAGGGTATTAAAGAATGATGGTAAATTAGTTGATGAGGTCTTCAGCTGAAGTGGTTGGGTGGTGTGTTGCGTACGCCTAAACGCCGATTACAACGACGCGCAATGCTCGCTGGTGTTAGGAATAGTTGATAGAAAGTTAGGGGTGGCCTAACCAAAACTTCGTATCAGTGCTTAAGGTCACTAACTTCTTGTCTGAGCCATGTTAGTAGATGCAGACTACCTGGTTGGGGACTCTTGGTGACGTGGCTTAGAATCGATCACAATAGCATAGGTGTATACACTCATTGCCTTTAAATTACGACGCTAAATTCGTTTTGTGTCTTTCTACGTACTAATTCTTTCTTCCTGCACTATCTCCTTATATACAATGTTTCTTTTATATGTTGCCACCATTGACTCGACCACTCCTATGAGTCCGGTGTTAGCCGTGCCGTGCTAATAAGGTATGGCAAGTTGGACCGATGCATATATGTGCCTGGTCCTACGTTATAGCTGCCTGACTTAATGGGTTCATCGAAAGTTCAGGCTTCAAGCAATAAAGCAGGTTGAATGAAGCTATTATAAACTACTAGATTGTCCCACTGGCTTCTCTGTCACTATGAGGTGTGTTGCGACTTATCAGTTCCGAGTCGTAACTCCTACTAGACATGTTCATTTTTTATGTGTTTTATGCTTAGGTATCGGCAACAGCGTTCGCTGTTAGCAGTGTCTTCGGCAGTTTAATCTCTCATGGTCTGCCCACGTACTGACTTTGTGATATGTATATATGGTGTAGCGTATTCGTTTCTGCAGGTTGAGAGCACGTGCGTGTTAACTCATCTCGATCATCAGGTAAGGTGTGCGTGTTGGCAGCCCCGTCGGTTTTCCGATAAATCAGAAGGACGCTTCAGGTTAACGTCCCACACCCAAGTACCTGAGCTCCACTTTGCCTCGAAAGACTCTGACACTAGTCCGAAGTGAAGTGAGGCGTCTTAGTCGCTACGTTCGTATGCGGTCACATTTGAGATCAAATTCCAAGAGCTGGTGGTGCAGGCGATGGCTTCGGAGAAACACACAGGCGTCTGTCAGTATACAGTGACATCCATCCAGCTAGTCAGATTGGCGTACAGTTACTGGCGTCTTCTTCCTGTGCAGTATTATGCAGTGCACGGGCAGTGGGTGTCCACACTGGGAGATTGTCGCTACCTTTGTGGTGGGATGCACGTGAGTTGTGTTAGTCCGACCTGACTACCATTCGGCGGTCACGTTGTCGCCCCGAAACTGGTTCAGACGGCATCATGATGCTGGCCATCACGAGCATGAGTTGCCTGCACTCTATAAGCAGGTCATATTCATTTCCTCTGACCATTTGCAGGTGGCAAGGTATGATCATCAGGTTCACTTGTTCTATACATATAATCACTGTACTATTGGCTGGTGGTCCTTCGCTTTTCGTGTGCTATTATTGTCTTTTCTATGAAGAACCATAGGTGGCAGGTTTTTATTATAAATCCTGGGTAGTACCACCTATTCGTTTTAAAATCTCTAAAGCCATTCCGGGCGAATTCATTTGGTTGAGTCCTATTTCGTGTGTCTATTGTGTGAATATGCAGCATGTCCATCAGGTAAATCCTATACTATGAGAGGAGTCCTATTTGTTCCTGAGATTTCCACTTACACTTGAGTAACATCTTACTCTCCAAGCTGGAAAGCAAGGCATCTTTAGTTGGCTTAAGAATTTGGGCGATGGGTGACTTTGTCAAGATTGCAGTGCACTATTACTTTGTTAAACACTACATAAAGAAGCGTCGTTACGGATGGTTTTGTTTTGACTTTTTGTTCACCGGGAAGATTTTTAGTAATGAGCGGAAGGTTTCTTTGTTGGTTGCCGTTCCTAGTTATCATAAATATCGGGCACTGAGCCGAACAACGCACCGGATATGACCTCTATCAAAGCATAAGTTTTAGCCTATCAAAGTAAATTGCGTGTAATTCCCTTAGGGTGCCGAGTAGTACTGATATCATCTTATAACAACTATCGGCAGCGAAATATCCCGAGCTACCAACTTTGTGGAAACTGTCGAAGTCAGATGATCTTCACCAAGGTTTGGGGAATTCTGGGGAAATCCCAAAAGTCAAGTGACCTTGACCAAGGTTAAAGGGGAATATTCGGGAATTTCCCCAGACCTGGGGAAATTTTGGGGTTTTAGTGTCATTTCCCTAAAGTTTGCTATAGCGGCTTCCCCAAAATGGGTCAAATTTTCCCCAAAATTGGGAGCTTGGGATGTGACCTAGATTTGAAGAACAACTTGCATGCAACACAGAATCTGGCCCTGTATGCATCAGTCCAAGTTGCCATACCACTTTAGCACAATGAGATAAAAATATTTCAAAACAAATCACAACAGTAGAAGTAGGAAATACTAGGGAAAGGAAAGGGTATGAAGAGATTACAGAATTGAAGACACAGAGAATGCTTTTGTGCCAGTGGAAACGATCGTGGCTCATATCAACCAAAGTATCCAACAAATGATTACGACAGATGCGCGGACCAAAACCAAGTAGCCTATATCCAACGGCATAACTCATACCAACAGTCAACTACATTTTGGTTTGACTTTGTCTCAACCTACTCCACCAGGTAGTATCGGTGATTGGGCACATGTAACGCATGCCAACCACTTCAGATAATAAAGATTCACTAGTCAATTTGCTTTGTTAACCCAGTACCATGTGGCTGAACTCAGAACTCTTCACTCAGTGATCCCTGAATACACTGGAAACGCTTCATAGACACCTGCTCAAGCTCCCAATTTTGGGGAAGCCGCTATATTAAACTTTGAGGAAATGGCACAAAAACCACAAAATCTCCCCAGACCTGGGGAAATTCTCCAATATTTCCCCCTAAACCTTGATCAAGGTCATTTGACTTTGAGGATTCCCCTAAAATTTGTAGCTCGGGCTATAATCAAATACTAGTGACCCCTATCTCTAATACACATGTTTCATATCCATAAATTAGAACAGATAGAACTGATATATAGTAAACTTATCTTCTTATTGACAGATAAATATATTTGGTCTACTTCATAAGTTGGCAAAAGCCGATTGGGCTGTCTAACCTCATACTAAGATTTTATCGTAATATTCAAAAACTCAAGCCCTTCACTGAAATATATTTTAATTATTATTATTATGTAAGCAAATTCAATCGAATATTTGTAATGATCTATTACAATTGTTTAAATTAAATTTACAAAACAAGTAAATAAATAAAGAAAGAAATTACTGATAAATAAGTCATAAAAAAGAAATACAAAAAAGAGTTTTGTTTTTCCTTCTTTCTTTCCTTCTTTATAAAAAAAAAATACAAAACTGAAATGATTAAAAAGATTAAATAAATTTTTTTTTTAAAAAAAAGTTAGTTCAGATCAATATTGAATTACTTCCATTGACTTAAGTACACAAATAGTATATTTTTTTTTTAAAAAAAAAGAAAAATTTTTTGCGAGATTACTTGGCGGTTTTTTTTCTTTTATTCTTTTTTTTGTAAAAAAAAACACAAAGAAGTAAAACAAAGGCAAACAATTGATTATATTGATCATCTGAGAATAAATAAAGAATAAACAAACAAACAAACAAACAAAAACAACAAAAAAAAAGAAACAATAACACTCATAGCAAAAACAAAAACAAAAAAAAAGAAAAGAAAAAAAAAGAGAATGAGATTCTTCATACATATATAGGTAGGTTGGTTTATTTAAATTAAAAAAAAATTCATCATCATCATGATGATGATGATATATCATGAAATACATTATCCCATAAATGAGCTATTTCATATAAAGTTTTATAAAATTTATCATATGATATTGAATAAACCATTTGATTTAATGCATTTATAATAGATTCATCTGATAACCAACCAGTATAAGGACTAGTACTTGTACGTGGTCTAATTAATTGGTGTTGATGATTATTATTTATAATAATTGATCCTAACAAATTTCTATAATAAGCAGCATTGAATGCATAACCACCACCATTAGTTAAACGTGTTGAACGATTCCAACGATACCATGCATGAATCCAAAAACGTGGATAATAGAATGGTGATAAAATTGGTATAAGTATTTGGGTAGATTTGTTTACAGTTTGTATAAGTTTAGTATAATCTAATTTATTCTAAAATAAAAGAGGAATATTATATAATAAAATTAAATCAAATTTATAGATAAGTAATACTATTGTAACTTAAGTCAATGTCAAAACAATGAATAGCCTAACACTAGATGTATTGGCCCCAAATGCCCTGGTACGGCCAAGAGTCACTGTTAGCTGGACATAGATTGGATTTAAGCATGCTCAATGCACGATTCCTTTGGCGCACGCTGATTAGCTGATTCTTATCCAATCAGCGCTAGTCGATACTTGGAGAAGACTCTAGAATCTTCTTATGTAAAAAGCTATAAATATACTAAAGGTTTTCCTATTTTGCTTTTCTTTTTCATCTAACCTTGTTCTGATTTGGGGACTTGTCGAGCGAATCGGTATCCGAGAATACTAAGCAATAAGAATAGCTGGGTTAAAACCGTAAGAGAGAAAATATAACAGTCAGGAAAGTCCGCTCTCCCTCTCGAAATACTCTCACATGGTCATGCATATATAGCCACTATGGGGAAAGTTCTACTCACTGCCTTCTCGTGACACAGGTGTTGTTTACGAAAATGAGAGGACAAAAAGCGCATTTCCGGCGCTTTAACCGGACCCCAAATCGATGGTGCACATGGGCTCCAGTATCCTGCGATAACAAATGGCGTATGAACCAATCGTTGGTCACCGGCTACCATGGGACTGCATCTCCCCACGATGCCCCACTACCTTGTGGGTTAGACGTTCAAGTCGAAGGTTCGGGGTGTGGCCCCCTAAGAAAACCACCTGTTTCGGTTTGGGCACCTGGGCAGTATCACAGCCCTCACACAAATCAATTGAGATTCGTGTGGCGCATATGTACTTGGTGCCTCCTTGTACCTAAACCTATGTGTTAAAATAAAATAAAAAAATCAATGTTGCCATATTACGTCAGTACGGCGAGATGCATACCGTTTTAGCATTAGCATTATTGATAGTAGTAAAAAGGATTAATTGTAGAGAAACAATTATTTCGCGGTGTACACATTTTAGAATACTTTGAAATTACGGTTGAGAATAATTCCAGATAAATATTGAGTGTTAATATCGAAATGATTTTATGAGTCCCTAAGCTATTCTTGAAACACTTAAGCTAGAACTATATAGCAACCTGAACACGAGAGAGAAGGCGCAAAGTATCCGAAAAGTACTTTAGTCCAAGGTTCATTTTTTTTACAGAAAAATACGGGTATTTATAGATGTTAACATTTGTTAAGTCAACATCAATATCACTAAAACAATCGAGGTGAGTTAATGTTAACAAAAATGTATATTTTTTGATCGAGATCATGAATCGACTGATGTTAGAACACTGTTGGAAATCTGGAAGTACTGAACAGCCGTTTCGTCCCATTGTGGGACTCTTGAGCAGTGCGCATCCACGATCCCGCTCGCGGGATTTGAACCCAGGACCCTCAGCCTCGCGCGCGAATGCTTAACTTACTGGACCATTAAGCCGGCACCCTATAGTGTTACTGTCTAACACCAACTAATCCACGAAATTGCGCGACTATCTTCCATTGTACTGAGGTAGATACCTGTCTCTACCTGACACGGATTAGTTCCACTGGTCACGACTTCTCATTAAAACTGAGAATTTCCTCACAAAGCTAGTCACTAGTGAGCACACATGTTAATTATCAGTATAGGGGTTTGTGGAGATTATTAAGTTTTCGATTGAGATCATGAACCGATTGATGCTAGATCACCACTATATGTTATCCAGTTGAGAATACTTTGTACTAACATGTTCTTTTTTTGAATAACAATTACAGTACCATTTTGTAGGTTTTTAATATTTAACAAATTCAGAAATATGTTCCGGATTTATAATGTATTTAATGTACGTATTATAGTATTTCAAAGCTAATTTAAGTTTTGGGTAAACAATTCTATAATTGACCTCAAATACTTAACGCTTTTAATCCTTCTTATTTACTACTACTGTGGTGTGTGCTACTTATGTAGACATAAGTAGCATATAATGTTAGTCGTGAACAGAATGTCTGGCAGCAGAGAGACAAGAAGATCGAACAGTAAAAAATGAAGACAGAATGCAATTAGTATGAAAATGCAGGATCAATGAAGTCCGAGTCATTTTGAGACAATTGATGGACATTTTGCAAATTGGGCATTTAACATATGGTTGTTAGATTTTATTCACAAGTTCTATAATTTTTTGTTAAATACATTCGATTGTCCCCACACGTGTTCGTGTTCACTACATTTGGTATCGCTACCAATCAGGAGAGGGGAAGGGTGCTGTTCTGTGGACGCCGTCGCGGGCCTGAAACTGAGGTGCCAGTTCTGTAATTTGTTGTCAAATACATTCGACTGTCCTCACTCATGTTCTGTTCACTACACTAATACTACTTGCTGTCAAAAATCAATATACATACGTATTATAGATGATGTAATCAGAATATCTATGCAATTTTCATATTTGTTTATTGAAAATGAGAGAAAAAATTTATTTTTTTGGTACTATTTTTATTCGATGATTTATCTCCCCCCTTTTCTAATATCTTCTTATACTTGAATGAATGATGAATGGAAATTGATTAGATGTCAACTCATTTTTTAAAAAAAAAATAGGCATACTGTGGTGTGCTCTACTTATGCAGACAGATATAAGTAGTACGTATAACAGAAATCGGAATTAAGATGTATACTAGCAGAAGATTGAAATAAAAAGAGAGAGTAGTAAAACTATAATTTATGGACGACCGTTAAGCGACGCTAAAGTGATTTTGAGAGTATCCACTTACTAATTAAGACTAAATGAGAGTTATAAACCAGTGTGAGGAATTAGAATAATGATTTACAGTTGATAGTTAATGTTAAGAATTATATCACGAACTGATATCGGCCATGATGCGCCAAAACGCTACTTAGCTAAATGTATGAATGAATTTCGTACCAAAACGCAAAACTTGTTATCTGATTGGTTCGTTCATAAATTATATATTCTCGCCAAGAGAGCAGTCAGAATAACAACAGGATTGGAAGAATGATGAAGTATGTAAAGAACAACTCAAGGAAGATATGTAAATGATGTATTTAATATATGATTTCCATATTTTAGAAAGGCACTGTATAATTTTGTATAAAATAACAAAAAAAAGTAGTTTTCCCTACCAAGTCATCGTTAAAAACAATACTAATAAACGATTCAGTTTGTGATCAATTCAACAGCGTGATAACATGATAGGTATTAAAAGTACTCTAGCAACTAAACTATGAAGGGGGTATATTTCTACTAGCATTATATCAATCAATAGTTAATGAATAAACAATTAAACTCATTCACACGTAATGTATTATACAAGATAAACACATTTAAAAATTGATGGTATTACGTACTATTTACCTACCTATCTATCGATCATGAAACAAGTTGTAACATGTTGAAAGTCTCAGAGTAAACATCAACTCTGAAATTACAGGTACATCCAACTGACGAGTCCTACCAAATGGGACGAAATGCACGTCCTGGATTCCACTGCTAGCCACTATTCATCTTTACTTATAAAGATTAGAATTGTTTGGATGGTTATTTAATTTACAAAGATAAAGGTAATGATCGGGTATGGATTTTAGTCGTTTTTCTTTTGGGGAGATCCAGAAAACCCCTCAAAAAGGCTCTGAAAACATTGAGAAGCATCTGATCCAATCAGCGTTCACTAAAAGTTTTGCCAGAAACATCTAGAAATTGAAAAGTCACATGTCGAGCTTCTGATTGGATGATTACTTATACTGCTACTATGTTTAGTAGCATTCCAGAGTTTCGGGAAACCCAAAGATACCTAAAATAACTATAAAAACCCTAGATTTTCTGTACATAAACGAACCTTTGTAGTAAAGTGTTTCTTACATATTTCGCACCTTTTCTCTCGTGTTCAAATCGCTGTGTAGATCTAGCCTAGGGTTTACCAGAAGAGTTTAGGAACTACATCTAGCGTTCAATTAGCAAGAGTTACCACAATTTTCGCATTGATTATAGTTTGTATTCATTTGAACCGATAACCTTTATTGTTACCGATAAACTATGGAGATTAACTACTAGTGGATCTGAGACATGTAGATAAATACCTTTACATTAGTCATTCAAATTCTACTTTAATTAACGTTTTGCTTAATTCACTGAAAATACTTCACCAAAGTAATTTCATGTATACAGAACACAAAAGATAAAAAAGATTGATAAAGAAACTGAATACTTCGCAAACTTGATAGATAATACAAAGTTGATAGTTATAATATATATAACCTTGTGGGCCAAGGTAATTTTACATTGGTTTTTAGGAGAATCAAACACCATCCAGGCTTTCACGTGACAACCCAAACCGTACAGGTCAATCCCGTTTAACAGGAAGGCCGGACACCGTATAGGCTTTAACGCTACAATCTGAATAGTACAACTAAACCCCGTGGCGCAACCACACAGGTATCACGCACCCTGGCGGACCATTCGCACCATTCATATACACGTTCACGTCACATGCGTAATTATTCCAGTCAGTGATCGCAAGAATCAATTATGCACAGCACGAATAGGCCAAAGTTAACCTATTCCACTTACACGACAGTCAAACTCATTAATGTTAACAATAATGGTGACATGCCTCACAATGTCCCTTAAGAACAGTGAAAACCAACCACCAGTATGAATGAAATCGGTTAACCAGCAAACTAATTTTATGCATTAATAATTAGTAAAACTTGCCAAAGCAATGCCGAACCATCCACAATACCAATAGCAAACCACCCGAACTAATAATAGGGAGTGAAGTAGTTGAGCGTGTCAACCGCTTCACTTATCTTGGAAGTCTCGTCAGCCCTTGTGGTCTGGTGTGTGACAAAATCTCAGCATGGATACAGAAGGATCGACTAGATTTTACCGAATCGCGTCATTAATGGTGTAGGCGAGATATCCGTCTATCAATTAAAGGACGGGTTTACTGAGCAGCAGTTCGTTCCGTCCTACTTTACGGCAGTGAAACATGGCCAGTAACAGTAGAGGATATTCGTAGGTTACTAGTATTCGATCGTAGTTGTATATCGTATATCCTGGGACCATCGAGTAAGTAATGTAGTTATTAGGAAACGGATACTACGTAAGGATGGCAAATCAATTAATGATGTAGTGAAACTTCATCAGTTGAGATGGCTGGTACACGTGTTACGTTTACCCGACCACCGACTGCCCTGACAAGCGACGTTCAATGGTGTAAGAAAAGGTTGGAAGAAAGCTGGGGGTGGCCAGACCAAAACATGGCACAAATCCATGAAGCCACTAACAAGTGGACTGAGCCAATGTTGGTAGATGTAGACTACCTGTTTGGGAACCACGAAACGATAGCAACCGATGCTTAGAGACCTTGAATGTGACATGGCTCAAAATCGTTTGCAATGACGAAGGTGCATCCACTCTTTGTGTTCTCTCAAATTCTAATCTACTGAATTCTTCATGTCCCTTTGTTTTTCTCTTTCCAAATTTATTTCACTGGATTATACTCCTTGAATAACATCTTCGAAACCTAATCTTTCCTATGACGTACGTACGTACAAAGTTCTACATTGTTACTGACTGACTGACTGACTGATGGCAAACCTTCAATTCTACATAATCATATAAGCTTATAATTGTTATAAGATAATAGATTAAATTAAATAAAATTTATAATAAACATAATCTAATTGATTAATTTTTGTAAATATTAACATACATTTACAGGATCTGAATTATATTGCCAAAAATATAACCAATTAAATAATAATTGATATCCATAATCAGTTAATATATCATTCCAATTATGAAATGAACGCCATGCTCTAATATCATGAAAATAATTAGATTTTTCATAAATTTGTTCTTGTGTCATTGATTTTGTTTTAACATGTCTTGCTGCTTCACATGAACATGAAAATTCTATAGTGAATGGTGGAGTTCCACCACCTCGACTTAATGCACTGTCTAATAATAAGACAAGATAATCCTATAACATTATGATAAATAAAAAAAAAAACAAAAACAAAAACAGATTCTTAGAAAATTATTAATTTCATAAATTCGAAAATATACACATAGGTAAGATTAACATTTTGGAGATTAGATCATAAGTGGCATTTAACAGTTAAGAAACTATTGAAAACCAAGAAGCACTAAGTAATTATTTCATTCAAGTATGTGAATATCTACGATTCCACTAATAATCGAACTCAAGATCCTTAGATATGTTGTGGTGTGTTGGGGTATTCAGAAAATGCCCCAGAAATTATCTAATGCTATTCCTGAATGAGAAGTAGTGTCATTTCCCCATTGGTCAACATTCTTCCAACGTGTCATCTCCTTATTGGTCAAGATTTATTTGTGTCACTTCCTGAAGGTTAAATCTTGTACAAATGTTACTTTCTATTTTATGGTACGATGTAGTCTGTTTGTTTGGTATATAAACAGTGTATGTTTGAAATATAACGATTCATATCTTCGAGGCTGAGACTTGTGTTCTGGACTCAATTGGCTGGGCTAGACAGGGAAGCAGGACCAATCAGGACTCTAGGCTGCTCGGTCGTATTTTGTGCGTCACTGTTTCGATCGATAATAGGCTGCTCTCTAATAGGCGGATCACACGTTATAACATGGTGGAAAAGTGGTGCATGCTAATTATATTGACAACAGAAGATTGGGAAGATCAAGAAGGGAAGAACGGGAATAGAAAGCAATTAGTATGGAAATACAAGTACAATGAAGTTCGAAACAATTATTGAACACCATGGAAAACCTGGAAGCACTGGACGGCCGTTTCGTCCTATTGTTGGACTCATGATCTCAACCATTAAAACTACTATAATATCCACAAAACCCATCTGATATTAATCAACATATGCTCACTAGTGACTGGATTCAAGAGGCATATCCTGGAGTTCTAGTGACAAATAGTGACCAGTGGAGTTCAACCAGGTTCGTTGTGAGATAGTAACTCATTGAAGACAGTGGTGGATGTGCCGCTCAATTTCGTGGATTAGTTGAAGTTAGACATTAACACCGTTGGATCCCAGTTAGTTCAGTGGTCTAGTGATTAGGCGCTCGAGCGCGACTGTTAGATCCTGGGTTCGAATCTCACAGGGGATGGGGTCGTGGATGCGCACTGCTGAGGAATCCCACAATAGGACGAAACGACCATCCAGTGCTCCCAGGTTTTCCGTGATGGTCTAGCTTCAACTGACTCATGATCTTTACCATTGAAATTACTACAATCTCTACAAAACTCCTTCTGAAATTATTGAACAATTTGAAAATTAAGCATTATAGTATGGTTTTTCTATTTCACCAATTAACTATGTAATTTTGTGCTAAATATAATTCGGTTGTCCCCACCTGTATTCTCCTTCACTACAGAAAGCCTTGACTAGTGCAGTGCGACAATGTCAGGAGTGAAATAGGTATCATAGACAGAAGTTGTTAATAGTCAAACAATATAACGAGTTGACTGGAATTAGAAATGAAAAGGACTGGGAAGACAACTCAGTGCTAAGCTAGGTCTACCATAGAGCTACGCATAGACCCTGCTGATAATTTGATGAGAAAGTTGTCCTAATTCTCCCTGGTTATCTGGCTAAATCTAGTTCATGATGTGAGATACAAATGAAACTAATAAAGTTAGAAATGTGATATATAGATGATATAGCATACTATACATCCTTATTAAGAATCAATTATTGATTTATGAAATATTATCATTTTGACACACACACACACATTACAGTGTGTATGTAATACAACATAAACGAGTTTATTTTATCACAATTTCGCATGTGCGTATATTTCGGTCACACGATAGAACCTCCGTCTTTAATTTAAAAAAGGAATTCACCGAAATCATATTATGATGAATGAGAACTTAGATGGGAAAAACCAATTTATTATTGTTTAGTGTACAATCACATAGTGGTTTAGTAAAATGTGAAAATTATACATCAAATGCATAATTTGCACATCTTCTATTGTGGTGTGTGCTACTTATGTAGACATAAGTAGTATATGACATGAGCACTGAACAGAATGTCTGGCGGCAGAGAGATAAGAAGATCGAACAATAAAGAATGAAGACGGAAGGCAATTTGTATGAAAATGCAAGGACAAGGGGATTCTGAGTGATTTGAGATAATTGATGAACAATTTGCAAATTACCGATTCAATATATGGTCGTTTGATTTTACTGACTAGTTCTGTAATTGGTTGTTAAATACATTGGATTGTCCCCACTGGTGTATTATTCACTACACTATCAATTGTCCTTTACATTCTCTATGATTCTTGGAATTCTATTTTTATTCCAAACTCTTTCTGCTTTCTTCAATCCAATCTTTTTTTGACAAACATCTCACTTCTGATTGGTGTTACATACTACTTACATCTAACAACATAAGTAGCATAATAACACACTATATAAGCTTTCAGTGTGGATTCGTACGTTAAATGTTATATATTCATGTTTAATTTTGATTTCAATTACAACCCTAAAGAAGTGCAGGCAACATTGTTGAAAGAAACGTTGGAATTATTTAAATTTCAGTCCTTACGATTGTATCAAATTTAATTTCTACACATAATAATTTCTTAGAATTATTACCAACTTTTTACAGTTTTAAACAAATCCTAGTGAGAAACCATGACTAGTAGGGCTAATCGGGTGTGGAGTGTGAGGCAATTACCCATTGAAGGCAATGAAAGATGGTCGTGCAATTTCGTGGATTGGTCGAAGTTAGACATTAAAACTGTCGGGTGCCGATTCAGTAGTCTAGAGGTTAGGCGCTCGCGCACCAAACCAAAGGTCCTGGGTCCGAATCCCGTGTGCTAGATTGTAGATGTGCTACGCTGAGGAGTCCCATACTATGACGAAATGACCGTCTAGTGCTTCTGGGTTTTCAATGGTGGTCTAACATTGATCGATTCATGATCTCAATTAAAAAAAAGACAACAGATAAAAGTTTAGAAAAAGTCAAATTACCAGTTAATTGAAGACTATTCATGCTACCTAGTTCATTTCTATTTAGCATTGAAATAATGACATAACTTATTAATAAAATATCCCTTAAGGATATAAATATAATATCAAACTTAAACATGATTAATATTGTGTATTACCATGTATCACGGTAGTTTTGGCACTAGAGCTTCTCAACCCTTTAAGGTGAACGATTTTGTTTTGTCAATTTCGATCTGCTTTAAGCGCTGAATATCTATTTACTTTCGTATTTTGATAAGATCACCTGAACTATGTGAAAGCAGTAAACAAGAATCTCCTGAAAAGAACTGTAAATAAGTCATTGCGTATTAGAGCAATTCCTACTCTGACTATACTAAGGAAAGTTATTATACATTTCAAGTTTAGCACACAATATCAAACAATTGTCATTGATACGCTAAGTCAACCAGAGATAGGCTGTAAAATAAGTGAGAGGTACTACTGATGAGTGCACATAATTATCAAGATTTAGCTTAACTTCCTAATAAAGAAATATATACGTTATTGATTGAAATTGTGGTTTAATTCTCTAAGGTATATATATATATATATATATATATATATATATATATATATATATATATATATATATATATATATATATCAATTGTGATATTTTCGATTCGATTAGCCAATACAAGCTTTTTACTCACTCTTAGTATTCTCAACATAAGTAGTTGATTTGCGCAAGCATATAGAAATAGTAGATATCAGTAGCATACTCGAACTACACTACAACCCAACTACAGTGGAGTGGTAATAATATGAGTTTTTAGGATGTAATAGCAAAAGATTACTTGTGTAAGATAGGTCCTGGGTTCAAATCTCGCGGGGGGCGGGATCGTGGATGCGCACTGCTAAGGAGTCCCATACTGGGACGAAACGGTCGTCTAGTGCTTCCAGGTTTTCCATAGTGGTCTAGCTTCAATTGACTCATGATTTCAACTAATGAAATTACTAAAATCTCCACGAAACCCCTTCTGAATTAAATATATATATATATATATATATATATATATATTCCACATTGTTGGTAATCAAGAATTGCATTTAATCGTTCACTACTGGTAACTCCGCCTGGAGCCCCTTTGGGGCTACTGCCGGTCCCAAGCCCGGATAAAGAAGGAGGGTTGGGAATGAGGTTAAACGACCCCGTCATGTAAAAAAGTAACTCGCTAAAAAACGCTAACCATAAAAATTTACATTTTGTTAAATAACAATCACTTTAAAAGTGAAGATAAGTAATATCCGTGAGGATGATATATATATATATATATATATATATATATATATATATATCACATACCTCTGTAAATGCAAATTCTGTAGGAAATTGGACCAATAATTGATGAACACAATCAATGAATAATGCGAAACATGCACCATCATCATAATCACAACTAACTGAATCATCATGCCAATCAGTTGGATCAGGGACAAATGGATAACCATAACGAATCCATTCTTGTTCAATTAAATCTTCAAATCCAAGAATTGTTCTGTTCTCAGCAGATAACATTATCTATACACAATAGTATAATTTATATTACGAGAGTTCCTTATAACAAATAACATGAGTGTAAATCTAGAAAAGTAATCATATGCTAATTATGGCCTAATTACAACAGGTAATTCCCGGAGGCCTAGTGAGAAGCCATGAGTTTGACTACGTCGGTACTAAAACCATTATTTACTAATGGTGATTGAGTAGTAGTGAAAATTGGTTGAAACCGTGTGTCCAAACCACATGACGCCAGTTAAGTTCTCGATGTGAGAACCTAGGATTCTGGCCTTTACTGAAGTAGCGTCTCTGTTATAACGTCTATGTGAGTTCATTCTGGCTCTTAATCTTGCCAATTATTTTGTGACCTTGTTAATTATATTCATATGTATTTTTATATGTGCTTCGCTTATGGGACTGTTATCTACCCCCTAACTGGTTATCTGTAATGCATACAATTTTGTCCTCATATAAGGATTGATTCACTCACTTTGACTAAGTCCTAATATCTATATTCTCTGTTCTTTGCATGTATGCATGAAATATACCCAACCTAAATACAACTCTTATTCTAAGTTTTTTTTAACGTTGTGTTAATATGACTGACTGATAAAAAGTACACGAAATTAATTAAGCACTTATATTCCATCATTCCATATCGATAACAATTGCAGTTAACAACGGGCACTGAAGTGGTAAGCTTGCTGAAGGGCCACTGATAATTCCTAGTGGAGTAATGGATGACGAATTCCATAACTAGGATAAAACAGCTAACCAGTGTTCTTTTTTGTTTTTCCTGGTCTCTTAATTACCAGTAAATGATAAATAATATTGTTTTTGTAATATAAAATTTCAGGAAGACCCTAAGTAGCGCAGTAGTAATGATAACCTTTTTGTTATTAGTACCTGGTTTTCAGAGAGATTCATGAAGTTAGAATGAGAATTATTGACTGATAGGTTTCAGTCACGGAGGAAGTCAGACGATTGAACACACTAGATGATAGATGGTCGAGTTAGAATAAAAAAAATAACTGGTTGTAAACAAAGGTTACCCATTTGATTGAGACTCAGTAGAGAAAATAGTCAGTTGAGATGTTCTAGAATGCTTTTAGGTGTGTATAGGCGGTTGTCACTCCTTGATTGTCCAAACAGTGAAAGGATGCTTTTTTGAGGGATCTGAAGACGGAACCGGTTTAGTGGAGGTTTTGATAACCTGCATAGAGTGACCGTTGACCCCAAGAGATAACTGTGTAAAGCCAATCACAGACGGCCTTTTATGTGAGGACCTATTGATCTGTTAGGTCCGTATTTTAGAGGTCCTACTACAATAGACGGAAATCTATGGGGAAAGTTGAAGTATTAATTAATAGGATGAACTCTGTTATAGGAAAATAGCGTCACTACAGATACGGATTGTCTGATGAACGTATCTATTTATTATTTATTTATTTTAACACATAGGTATTGGTACAAGGAGGCACCAAATACATATGCGCCACACGAATCTCAATTGATTTGTGTGAGGGTTGTGATACTGCCCGGATGCCCAAACCGAAGCAGGTAGTTTTCTTAGGGGGCCACAACCCCGAACCTTCGACCTGAACGTATCTCATAAACATCAAACTGTGATACAATCCACAGCATATCTTTGTTCTTTGATCACGAGTTCACTGAGTTGTTGTAACAATTTCCAATCAATCTGCATATCATAGTAAGATCTAAATGAATAAGTGTTTCAATCAATATAGTTTGACCGAATTATCATGCTAAATGTATCTGATCACTAAATCAAATAATCAATATTTATAGTACATATCTATATAACATAATCTTACCTGTACAAGACTCATTAAAATTGGTTGCCAATTTCGACCACTATCTGGTCCACTTAATAAAATAATTGTTCCATCATAACCATTTACTGGTTTAATTGAATATTGATATATTAATTGACTTAATTGTGTTGCTTGTTTTAATGTAAACAATAATAAATCTAACCAATTTGTTGATAATAAATAATCATACCAATCAGATCGATGTGGACTACATTGAAATGCATAATGATCTAATTTCTTTTTATTTAATAAATAAAAATATGAATAACTTCTACCAAGTGATTGACCTATACTATTACGAAGATTATTAGTACTGCTACTTTTATTGTTGTTTGTATTACTATTACTATTATTATTATTATTATTATTATTATTATTATTCTTAATGACATTGTTATGTCTATTATTATTATTATTATTATTATTATTATTATTATTATTATTATTATTATTATTATTATTATTATTATTAGCATCATCATTAATTTTAAATAAGTTAGAAAAACTGAATTTATGCCAATCAGATTTTGTAGATAAACGTTTATCAATTATTAAATGATCCATTTGTTTTGATTTTGATCTTAATGAAATATGAGAATATTTTTTTTCACGTTCACTACTTAATGAATCGGTAGATAATGTATCCCAATTCATAAAAAGTAGATTATCATTACTACTATTATTATGATTATTATTGGTAGTAGTAGTAGTAGTAGTAATAGTAGTTCCGACATTAATCAATGAATGATAATCACCAACTATTGAAGAATCATAATCAGTAGTATCATTCATACTATTATTACTATTATTATTATCATTATTATCAGTAGTATTTGTAAACTCATTGAAAATCTCTACATTTGGTGTATGAATTTGTGGTAATTGTATAAGATTTTTTAATTGTAACCAAGATTGTTTGATATGATTATGTTTAGGTATGAACCAATTATCATAATGTTGATTTATTTCATATAATTCTGTTGTAAATGAAGATGGAATAAAATGATTCTGTTCTGGAGAATTTGCAATATCAACATGATCATTATTATTATTATTATTATTATTATTATTATTATTATTATTATTATTATTACATAGATGATCTGATGTTGTCATTGATGTATCATTATAAGTAGTATACATATTTTTAGAATAATTTTCAGATAAAGGAATATAAAATTCTTGATAAATTGATTCTATTGATTTTGTTATATTTCGATCTTTCAATAATTCATTTATATGATCACTAAATGATAATTTAATATGTTTTATAAATAATTTTTGTTGATTTGATGATGATAAATGATAATTACAATCAATAAGTTGATGAATATTGATATTTGTTAATAAATTACCAGATCTTAATATCCATACACCAAACTGATGTACTAATGGTACTGAAACCGGGGAACTAGTAGTAGTAGTAGTAGTAGTAGTAGTAGGAGGAGGAGGAGGAGGAGGAGGAGTAGCCAATGAATAAGGTGGATAATATTTATATAAAGAGGAATTTTTATTATGAATTAATGAATTTGAATAATAAAATGATAAAATTGGAAATCGGTGTCCTTCAAAGTAATCGCGAAATATAATTACCTAAAACATTAAATACAAAAAAAAAAACAAAAAACAACGGCGAAACTGTAATTTATGGACAACCTTTGAACGAATCTTAAGTGACTTTGAGAAATATTAGCTAATTAGCAAACAGTAAGTATAGAGTAAAAATATATAAAAAATCAAAGAAATAAAGTGGATACACTTCTTATACATGGATAAAAAACTACTCAAGGTCAGAAACAGGTTCTAAAATTGTAATACATGCAGTAGAGGAAATCATCCATACGACTAGTGAATAGTCGGCCTCTGGAGCTATGGTAAAGTTTCAAAAACTATTTCAGCCTCAACCACATAGTTTCAATATTGTTTATGTGCAATACGGTTGTTGAGTACACAAAATGCCATTTGTGGATAACGACACGTTGCACATAAACAAGCCTATGTATGAGTCTGCACTCTCTTCAATCATCCTTATATATAGTAGTACCTAGTTTCAGACAGTGTTACTGGTGGTTTCATTATCCAGTTTGCAGTAATTGTCATAATTTTTCTTAGTTAAAAATTATATGTAAGGTTTTCATCACAAGCTGACATCAGATATAATGCCAGAAATCTATTTAGCCAAATGGATGAAAGGCTTTCGCGTTAAAATCCGAAATCTGTTATCGTATACCTGATTGATTCGTCCATAAATTTTAGTCTCGCCGTTTTATTTGTTATAGCTGCTCAATTATCACGTTTTCTACAAAATTCCCTGTGAACCGATCTTACGTTAGCTATAAGCACTGAAGTTGGCGCCGTAACCTTGAAATCTCTCAAACGCTTCTGATTGGCTCGTCCATAGACTAGTCTCGCCAAAAAAACAACAACATGAGATGGTTACATTACTCATAAGTAATACATTAGTTCATGGGTGGACATAGGCTTAAGTGACGAAAATCGAATGTCTGGCACATTGACCAGGTTAGTGGATCCTCCAGATTCACTTAGGGGAGTGGGAAAACCCTGATATCAAACTAGTGGTGCGCATGGTCTCCAGGATTCTCAGGAAACGAAAGGCGTACGAAATTATTGTTGGTCACTGGCTGCCATGGGACTGCATCTCTTAACGTTGCTCTACTACCTTATGGATTAGACCTCGAGGTCAAAGGCTCAGGGAATGACCTTCTAAGAAAACCAACTGCTTCGGTCTGGGCACCCGGGCAATATACAAGCCCTCACACCAATCGAAAGACGAAATGTGGCGCATTTGTATTTGGTGCCGCCCCCCCCCTTTTTACTAATGTTTATGTGTTTAAATAATAATAATAATAATAATACTAAATCCAATTGATCACTTAGGTTTCGAATCTGCGACTTATAGAGTCGGTAAATCTACATAAAATAAAATAGTATTTTGAGTGATCAGTTCTTCATATTTGAATCTTGCCAATGATTATAGATCAAACAGAAACTTGGAAGCGATCTGAAAGAAGTGTTAACTAGGCACAAAATTCCGTTTTGATTTGTTACACTTTGAGGCAAACGAGTATGAACTTAACACAAAATGTAATACATCGACTAAACGACAAGTAGTTAGTAAACCTAACCTAATTATTGTAGGCAGAGAAGATTAAATTGTGGGCAACTTTTGAGAACTATTTGTAGACTGTTATTATAAATATATATCTTCTATCATAAGCCTGAAATTGACTTATTGACTATTATCATACAATTTACTATTCTTAAGTTATTCCCAATTTATCAGTTACAGTATCCCACACTCACAGCCATTTTTAGCTTGATATTGTACAATTTTTATTTTTTTCACTTTACGGTGTGCTGTGGTCTGGTTCATCTGTATATAAACTACATATGCCTGAAATATGCGATTCATATAACGGAGGTTGATATTTATATTTCTATTCTGGCCTCAAACGGACAGGGCTAGGAGAGGTCATTATTTTCAGGACCATTAAGGATTTAGAGTTGACGCAAGACTAGTTGACGTGTCATTGGTTTAGCATAGGAACAAGGTTACATCAGTCAGTATGGTGATTAGTGATTTTGTCACATGATAACTGACAAGGACAAAAGATAACATTGATGTAACCGGTTATGAGTGGACAAAAAAAAGTGAAATCTAAAACCGATCAGATTAGATAGACTGGTGTCAATGATTATTAGCTTAATGTGCAATTTAAGAAGAAAAGAAAACAATATATATCTTCATATATTATATAAAATACATTTTATTGACAATCGTGAATAATACATGAAATTGTATAAATTCAAATGGTGCTTTACATGGTGCTTTTACATTACTACTTCTGGTGCAATTGGTATAGATAACATAAAACAAGAAAAAAAAAGATTAGTTTACTATTAACTAATACACAACTTGTTACTTGTGATGTATTGAATGAATGTATCAACACTTCTGCGATCTCTACATACTCGAACAGATTTGGACAAATATTGACCAAATCGTTATTTTGTCAATGAATTGATGAGGGTATATTACAAATAACATGAGAGCTACATGAAGTGATGAAGAAAACAAAATTGATCTCGAATAAGATAGATGAATGTTTTTTTTTTTTGGATGAAATATAATTTAACTTTTGGATCAAGAGACTGATATTGAACCCTGAGAAATTTACATAATATGTCATGGAGAACTGTATGACGTTTGTTTATACTTTTAAGAGATAGATTCTTAATTTAACTTAATTAATTGTGACCATTAACTAATAAAGACTATCAATGATTTAAAGTTATTTAGAGAGTAGCACGATCTCAGTTGTAAAACAGTAGTTGTATTTGAGATTACTGATAAATAAGAATTCTACTTTATGCAACTGTTATCACCTTTGATCATTCAGTTTTTGTAGTACCACTATTTACTACTTAAATTTAAAAATTATAACTCATATTTTGTAATAGGCAGATTACTTTTTCATTAGAACATAGTTGGAGCATTACCTAGGCATATATATATATATATATATCAGTCAGTTACAACGTAGGACCAGTCACATATATGCATCAATCCAAGTTGCCATACCTCATTAGCACAACAAGATGAACACCGAATTCATAGAGGTAGTTAATTCAGTGGTGGAAATATATAAAAGAAAGATTGCATATAAGGATATAGTACAGGAAGAAAGATTTAGTACGTAGAAAGAAGGATATGAAGCGATTTTAATCTCATAGTTTAAAGGAAGACAATGAGTGTATACACCTACGCTATTGTGATCGATTCTGAGCTACGTCACCAAGAGTCTCCAACCGTTGGTTACGATAGTCGTATATATATATATATATATATATATATATATATATATATATATATATATATATATATATATATAAGTGAATAATAATGATTTGTAGAGCAAAACAATACATAACAAGTAATGTACTTACAGACATTTTAAATGCAAGTGTTGGTATTTCCAATGGTAATGTACGACAATAAGCAAAATCTGTATTATCAATTATCGTATAATTTCCTTTCAAACGATGATACCAAGTTGTTTTTAATCTTGTTAGTGAATTAATTGGAGTAAAGTTGACTGACTGATAAATGTTTGGTGCATAAGGAGAAGAAGAATAAAAAGAAAATAAAGCATATATGGATGAGATAAATTACAACATTTAAAACGTTTTCTTTATAACTGATAGAATTGTTGAGTTGTGGGGTTTTTAGTAACATGGTCATGGGCAGTACCATTTCCCCTTACAAACATACATACAAAACTCAATGCGTCTCACTGAATCACACTACGGAGAACCATATCAATCACATCTGTATCAATAACAAATTCAGAAGTTCCATCGAAGATGTAAGAATAAAGAGGATAGCTGATATAGCCTCAGGTCATCACTTGATGGTGATCAATATGAAACTGATGTCTCAGAAGTTTAATACAACTTTCCTTCGAGATGCTTAAAAAATTCAGCAAACTCAAGATAGTTCTGTGCAATAGGTTTCAAGACCCAAAAATTCTATTATAAGAAGTGAAAAACACTGTGAAGAATGACCGGAAAGGGATTAGAGGAGTAATAACTTCAAAATACCAGGAGGTGCGGAGGCTCAAGGAACACCAGCATAAAGAACGAGACTTTGTAGACAATCTGGTCAAGACTCACGATGAAAAAAACGAGAAAACTGCAGTCAACAGCTGAAAAAAACGAGGGAAGCCGAGACACAGACTTAATATACACGGGCCAACAAACGAGTGAAAAACTGCATTAAAACTGACAGGCAGAAATATGTATAAGATTTAGCAACGACAGCATATAACGCTTCAAAAGAGGGAAATTTCAAGAACTATATAGTCCAACCAAGAAGCCAGCAAACCAGCTTCGAATGAGGGGGGAACTAGGAAAAAATGCAGGAGTTAGATAGAACACATTGCGAAGATCATCAAAGTATCTCACAAAGCAATCCCTAACTTGGAATCCCTATGACAAAAAGAAAGGAGGCAGACCAAATAACACATGGTGCCAGGAATTGAAAGCAGACATCGGAAGGATGAACAGTACCTGGGGAGAATTAGAAAGAAGAGTCCAGAACAAAACTGTTTAAAATTCCGGTGAGAGTATAATTTGTGGACGAAGCAGTTGGATTTAGCATGACAGATAGTGGATCTCGGCGCGAAATTCATTCATCTGTTTGGCTAAATAGCACTTTGACATTATAGCTGATGTCAGTTCGTGATGAAAACCTTAAATCTAATTCCTTATCCTAAACATCAGCTGCGAATCATAATTCTAATTCCTAACACTTGTTTATCACCCTCATTTAGTCCTAGTTAGTAGGTGGACATTCTAAAAATCAGTTTAGTGTTGCTCGAATGTCGTTCATAAATTATAGTCTCAGCGAAATTCTTTGTTGACGACTTATGTCCGAAGAGAGGTGAGAAGATGAAATAAGCATTAATTCATCAATGTACACCAAAAGCATCACAAATGTTTATTCAAAGAAAACATCAATTTATTTGACATCACGTACCCAGATAAGCATCGGTTAAACACACATATATCTCATCCACCTCAGCTGACTGAGATATATCACCAAAGTCATTGCATAATAATGATCGTGTAATATTGCGAATTGAATAGAAAATAATCAGAGCGGTGAGTATACACTAATCTTTTACGATTCTTCAATGTTTAAGCTTTTGTATTGTTTTCCATGCTTTTTATACACTGAATCTTTTTGTTTCATTATAAACTTTATCTGTATTGCTCATTTTCCAACCATCATTAATAATAATAATAATGCCCCCAAATGCCCTGGTACGGCCGAGAGTGAAGAGAGTCAGCTCTCCCTCTCCAAATGCTCTCACATGGACAAGTGGATACAACCACTGCCAGAGAAGTTTTACTCAATACCTTCTCGTGGCGGGGGTGTTGTTTACGAAGTTCAGAGGACGAAAAATTAATGTCCGACGCTTTAACCGGGTTGATGGACACGGATAGTTGGAAAACCTTGATTTCAAACCCATATTGCATATGGCTTTCAGAATCTTGAAGGAATAAATGATGCATTATTTAAACACATAGATATTGGTACAAGGAGGCATCAAATACATATGCACAACACAAATCTCATTTGATTTGTGCGAGGGCTGTGATACTACCCGGATGCCCAAACCAAAGCAGGAACAAATAATGTATGAACCAATTATTGGTCACCGGTTACCATGAGACTACATCTTCTGACGTTGCTCCACTACCTTGTAGACCAGACCTTTAGGTCAAAGATTCAGGGTATAGCTCCATAAGAAAACCATCTGCTTCGGTTTAGTCACCGAGGCATTAGTATTATAGCCCACATACAAATCAAGTGACTTACTTGTGTAGCGAATATCTATTTAGTGCCTTCTTGAACCAATGTGTATGTGTTTAAATAAATAAATAAATCATCAGTATTGGGGTTGTGGAGATTATTAAGTTTTTGATTGAGATCATGAATCGACTGATGTTAGACCACCGTTGGAAACCTGGAAACACTGAACAGCCGTTTCGTCCTAGTATGGGACTCCTCAGAAGTGCGTACCAACGATCCTGCTCGCGGGATTCGAACCCCGGACCTTCATTCTCGCGCGCAAACGCTTAACCTCAAGACCACTGAGCCGGTACCCAATGGTGTTAGTGTCTAACATCAACCAATCCATGAAATTGAGCGACCATCTTCCATTGTACTGAGGTAGATACCTGTCTCTACCCGACACGGATTAGCTCCACTGGTCACGACTTCTCACTAGAACTCCGAGAATTCCCTCACGAAGCTAGTCACTAGTGAGTACATGTTAATTATCAGTATAGGGGGTTTGTGGAGATTATTAAATTTTTGATTGAGATCATGAATCGACTGATGATAGGTTAAGCGTTTGCGCGCGAGACTGAAGGCCTTGGGTTCGAATCCCGCGAGCGAGATCATGGGTGCGCACTGCTGAGGAGTCTCACAATAGGACGAAACAGCCATTCAATGCTTCCAGGTTTCCAACGGTGGTCTAACATTAATTGATTCATGATCTCAATCAAAAAATAAATAAATGTTATACATATATACTTTTTAAAAATAAATAAATAAACAAACTTACAAAATCATGTTTTTGATCATTCCAATTACTTTCATAGATATTTACATTAGATCTTTTATGTATATTATGATAATTTGTATTTTGTTGAATAGTTAATAATGTTTCCAAATCATTATTATGATTATGATTATTATGATGTAGGGCATATTCATTAGCTAATAAATATCCAGTAGATTTACGTATATAGGATATTCTTTTAGTTAATAAATGAATAAATAAATTGATATTATTTTTTATATTTTTTTTACGTAATTTATTGAATTCTTTTGTTGTTACTATAGATATAGTTGATAATTTTAATTGATTATAACATAATTGAAAACTATACACTTCAAAATCTGTTGTTAATATTAATAAACGTGTTGGTGTATGAGGTAATTTATTACTATTAGTAGTATTAGTAGTAGTATTGTTAGTAGTATTATTATTACTATTAGTAGTAGTAGTAGTATTTAACCAATATTTTTTAAATTTTTTTAATTTTATACCACAAGCATTTATTGAATGTAACCATATATTATTGATTGGATCAAATTTATATAAATGATCATGTCGATCTTGTATAATTAGATAATCAATTTTACCTAAACCAATACAACCAGGACGATTAGAAATCCATGAATGATAAAAATATGGTTCTGTACGATGAAGTGTTTGAGATAATAATTGACTGGAAATAAGAGTTTTTTTTTGAAAAGAAAACAGAAAAAAGGAAAAAAACAAACAAAGAATGTCAAAAAATCCTAAAAAAAGCACAAAACATATTAACAGAATATCAATATTGTTGTTTGACCATTTATTACTATATGATGAATGAAATCGTTATTTTAATAGTTGACATCATGAGTCAATTGAAGGTGGACCATTACGGAAAACCTCAAAGAATTGGATGGCCAATTCGTTCTATTGTAAGACTCCTCAGCACTGAGTATCCATGATCCCGCTTCACGAGATTCAAACCCGTGACCTATCAGTCTCGCGCGCAACTCGGTATCCAACGGTGTTAATGTCTAAAAGATCTTGGGTTCGAGTCTCGTGAGACGGGCTAGTGGATGCGCACTGCTGAGGAGTCCCACGGTAGGATGAAACGGTTGTCTAATGCTTTCTGGTTCTCCATGGTGGTTTAGCTTCAATTGACTCATGATCTGAACTATTAAAATTACTATAATATCGACAAAACCCCTTCTGAAGCCATTATTGTTATGAAATTATAAACACTGATTAGTATTTTCCGTTTCCGTAGATACAGACTACTTGGTTGGGGTCCGCGTGACTATCGTAACCAATGGTAGGAGACTCTTGGTGACATGGCTCAGAATCGATCACAATAGCGTAGGTGTATACACGCATTTTCTTCCCTTAAACTAAGAGATTAAAATCGCCTCATATCTTTGTTTCGACGAACTAATTCTTTTTTCCTGTATTATATCCTCATACACAATCTTTCTTTTATATATTTCCACCACTGAATTAACTACGTTTATGAATTCGGTGTTCATCTTGTTGTGCTAATGAGGTATGGCAACTTGGACCGATGCATATATGTACCTGGCCCTACGTTGTAGTTCAATGACTGACAATGGGGCACCAAATAGATATGCGCCGCATATATCATGGGATTTGTGTGACATCTGGGATACTACCCGGGTGCCCAAACGGAAGCAGGTGGTTTTTTTAGGAGACCACACCCGAAGTCTTCGACCTGAAGGCCTGATCCACAACGTAGATTTAATAACCAGTCAATGATATTTAACAGAATATGATAATAGCTTTAGTATACACACTACAATTTTATAACCAGTGAATTGTGAAATCCCTAGATTAGTAATAACATTTCTATGTGACACTTAAAAAAAGGCATAAAATTTCGCTTAGCAAAATGACAAACTTCTTATATGAGTATTGATACAAATCATAATACATGGTCGATTTTGTCTTAATGTCAATAAATCACCTTCGAAATTATAAATACAATTCATATTAGCCATTATTATACGATTTACTATTCTTAAATTATCCCCAATCTATTGGTTAAAGTCTTTCATAATCACAGCCACTTTTTGGTTTGATCATGTATACTTGTTATTTTATATGTTATGGTGTGTTGTGGTCTGGTTTGCTTGTATATAAACTGCGTATGTCTTATATACACGATTCATACAACGGAAGATGAGATTGTGTTCTGGACGCAAACGGGCAGGGCTAGGCGGGAGGACTAATAAGAACTCAGAATTGAATCTAGGCTGTTCGTATTGATTAACGCGTCATTGGTTTCGTAGTGTCAAGGTTATATAGGTCGCTGTTCTAATTGGCGGTTTAGTCATGTGATATATTAACAGGTTGTAAGAACATAAAATGTTATGCTGCCTGAACTAAATATTTCATTACATTGTTCACATCTATAAAATCCTTGTCCTGAGATACAAATATTCATCCATCTAAAATTCTGTTAGTCTTATTTTTATACCAGAAACGCAACAGGTTCATATCATAAATTAGGCTATACATATAGGACTGATCACTGTTTTAAGATTTAATTGAACACGACTGGTTTCGTTATGTTTACCTGTTTGTGCTACTTAAACTTGCCATATTCAATGTTCGCACTAAGAAGTATATTCACAATCATATTTTGAAGGTCAATCATAAATTACAGTCTCGTCGTATTATAACTTTACTCTTCATCTGATGATTCTATAGGTTTGGTCGAAAAATGCTCATCCGAGGAGTTTACAGTGTCGGTATCGTACCTTACTGGCCTCAGTTTCCCACTAAGCACCAAAGCTGAGACAGCACTGATCGACTGGGTCTCTATTAATCGTTTTTCATTTGTTGTTCGGTTACAGAGACCGACCAAAGCGAAAAGCTAGTAAATTTATTTATTTACTTAAAGGTGTAAATGTTATTACAAATAGGCACCAAGTTATAAACTGACTACCACTCCGCTTTTTCAAACCAGTTTCAGCGTCCGAAAATAAAGCACAATGCAGAACGCTTTGGGATGATGCTAGTAACATACGCACAAGCCACAGAAGTCGGTGTTTTAGGATGATGGGACCAGTCGAATAATCGTCAATGTGCTTGAACACACATTGCCGAATTTCCTCATTACTCGCACATTGTTGCCACTCGATGTCAGCAATCCTTCGGAGACAATGATGATCAAACACAGAGAGTCGTCTAACATCCTCAACTCGGAGAGGCCAGGTTTCACAAGCATAGAGCAAAACTGCTCTCACCGACGCGTTGTAGATCCTACCTTTTACGGCCAGACTGACATCACGAAGGTACCAAAGATGGCCCAGATTGATGTAAGCCGCTCTGGCTTTCACTATACGTGCATTGATCGCATCACTCACGCCACCACCAGCACTTAATCAGCTACCTAGATACACGAACTTCTCGACTACTTCTATCCGCTCACCATCCAGAGTGAGTACATGATAAGAGTCCTGCCAGTCTTGTAGAAGTACTTTGCACTTCGAAAGTGCAAAGCACATACCATACATACGGACACTGATTGCCAACTGATTAATGCGGATTGCATGGCTTGGGCATTATCGCACAGTAAGACAATATCATCCGCATACTCAAGGTCGAGAAGTCTTTCTCCAGACAACAGATCCACATTGCCATTACTTACATCCATCAGAGCTGTTTCCAGAATGTCATCGGTGGCAAAGTTGAAGAGGAATGGTGAGATTGGTCAACCCTGCCTAACCCCATTGCTTGAATGGAACAATGGAGAAAGGTGATTGTATGCCCTCACTCTGCCTGAGGTGTTTGTGTATAGAGTCTTTAAGATTTTAATAAACTTCTCAGGCACACCCTTCTTCAATAGACAATCCCAGAGAACAGTTCTATCCAACGAATCGAAGGCAGCCCTGATGTCAAGAAACACTACGATTGTTAGCCTTTGATAAGTATGGTGGTGTTCTAACATTTGGCGGAGGGTGAAAATATGAACAATACATCCTCGACTGGAACGAAAACCAGCCTGCTCCTCGCGAGTCAATCTTTCTCGGGTTTTGAACAACCTACGATGTATGACGGAAGCCAACAATTTGGACGCAATCGGAAGTAGACTTATCCCCCGACAGTTGTTGCAGAAACGACATGTACCCTTTTTAAAAATAGGGACAACTATCCACTCATTCCATGATGTTGGAACACTCTCTAACTGGCAGACCTTTGTAAACAACGTCGTCAGTCCCTTAGTCAGAAAGTCGCCACCATCTTTAGAAAGAGCCGGAGGTAAGTTATCTGGGTCTGGTGATTTATAGCGCCTTAAGAGTCGGAGTTCCTTGCGGATCAGTCGTCACCGGCCATGGAGGGCAGGACAGTTTGACCGATGTTACCGGAGCAGCAGGCCAGTTGAACTGCCCTTCGAAGGACTTTGCTCACTGTCCAGGACGTCGAGGGATGTTAGTGATTGGCATCCCGTCATCCTCACAGATTGTTTCGCTCACACCAGACTTCTTGCTGTCAGTGGCTCGGATGAGTTGGAAGAGCTTCCGGTAGTTACCAGATGCAGCTGCTGCTTCCAGCTCGTTAGCACGCTCTGACCACCAGGCTTCTTGGTCCTTACACAAGCTTTGCCCGATTTCATTACGTAACAACCTTCGTTCGTGGTCAAACCCACGGTTACCCGGAGTAGACCGACGGGCTTCGATGAGTTGTATGGAGCCTGAAGAAACCCAGTTCTAATAAGCGGGACGTTTCGCGAAGCCACAAGCGACTTTACTTGCCATTTTCATGGTGTCATGCAGTTGCAAGCAATGCTCATCTACACTTTGCGGTGCAATGGCAGCTAGCTTGGTTCGATAGTTAGTTGCAACAGAAGCCGCAACCAATTTGCTGATATCAATCCGTCAGCCACTGAGAAGTAAGGTAAGATTGGCGCAGACCAGAGCATGATCAGAGTCCAGATATGTACTCCAAAAGAAGCGGAAGTCTTGTACACAACCACGCCAGCAGTAGTTGATCGCGATGTGAGCAGTCTGAGTCCAGGCTTGAGATACAGAGGGAGGACGCCAGGTGCCACGTCGGCGATGACTGTGCCGAAAGTTAGTGCTAGCCAGAAACGGGTTGTAGTCTGTGCATAGTTGCAGTAGACGGTCCCCGTTATCTGTCCTGCGACCAACAAGTCCACATCGGCCACCTAAACGACTCTCTTCTGTGTCTAGATACCCAACCTGAGCATTCAAGTCTCCGGCTAGTACTACAGTATCTGTCGATATTTGGTCGCCATTGAAGCAACGACCCTTTTATGGTATCGATCCGTTAAGACAGAGACGTTTACTGGCTACCAAAACGTAAAATAAGCTGGTTGAAAATAAAACTATGATCACAGTGAAAATAGTTATCCCAAAAAAAGCGGCAGTTTTGTATGAAACCATGCCAGTGGTACGTAACTCGAATATGATCAATCTGGATCAAGGTTTGAGTTGCAGAGGGATGATGCATGATAGCACATCGGTGATGATTGTGCTGAAAGTTGGTGCTGACCAGAAACATGCCGTTTCCTGAGTAAAGTTGTGAAAGACGGTCATCGTTATCTGACCTGTGACTAAGGATTTCCCAATGGTTACTACCTAAGGGTCTCTTTACTGTGCCTAGACACTTGATTTGTGTATTCAAATCGCTGACCAGCACTGAAATATTTGTCAAACACAGTCTCTTGAGGTCATCTATTTGATGGTATAACTCAATATCAATTACATCAAGGCTGCAAGTACAGTATCTAAAGAGTATTTTGACAATGTACTAGTTACCACTACTAATGGCTTTACAATAGGAACCACATGGGCTTTGATAGAATAATTTGGTATAGCGTTGAGAAGCGACTATTAACACTGTGGTTTTTAGGAAATCGAATGTGAGCCTTAATGAACGGTTCCAAATTTGCACGACTTTTCAAGGCAGTACTTCAGTTAACAAGATTTAGTCAAATGTTTGGGAAACGAAGTATTTCCTAACAGTGCTTTAGTAATTGATATCGTATAACTGGAAACGATATTGCATAACGGACATACAATGAGAAAATTAAACTGTTTTAAAAAAAGACAACCTGAACTAACTAACCGAGTAGCATTAATTTCCTCCTTATTAATTTGTCCAAGATTAATACATGGTACAAATAAGACTTCCCAATTTGATAAACCCAAAATTCCATATAATGTTAATTTGTTGTGTGCAACTTCAAAACACCCAAAACGAAAAATTTTATCCAAAGGCTTTCCAAACAATTGCTTCTCCCCCGAATTTCTAACAGCAGTTAGCAAGTGACCCGTCGGATTTTCTGAAGAAACTCCTCGGAAAGGCACTTCATAGGTACAATAACAACATGGTACATTATCCATTCCATCCGATTATCAGATGACTGTCATGGTCATGAGTTACAAGGGAGAAACTTGGAGCAAAAACAAACCAAATTTTTTGTAGATTGGTCGATTATACTCTACTGAAAATATATTCAATAAAACATAGAAAGTTAAACGATGAAGTGAGGGTTCATAACTGACATGTGCGAGAACTACTCTCTAATCTAAGCTGGTGATATAAACAATATTATAACCGTGTGGAATCAAATGAAAGTTAAGTACCGAAACTTGGTTGATAAATCAACGTATCAAGGCGATAATTAGCCTACTAAAAGCACTGTTTTCCCGGTAAACGTAATGTACACAGTTGAATGACAGTAATGTGTTAAACATTATGTTCAATCAAAAGGCTGTAAGAACAAATGGATGACTTATTATGATAGGAATTAGTATGAGAATATGGTTTTATAACCCTTGTATTATAGCTGATGTCAGTTTATGATAAAAACTCTAACCGAACATTTAACCCTAACAGTAATTCTTAACCTTATTTTGATACTCTGAATATGAATTTCCGCGTTCATTAGTTCGGTTGTATATTTTAAGTCGACTTTTTCTGCATTAGCATGATTAACAGGAATGACAGGATTACCCTCACTACCGATTTTAAAATGATTAAATCTATGGATGAGGAACGTTTTAACAGTAGGTATAAACTGATTACTTTTAGAGCAGGAACCCATCGAGAACTGCATTTCTAAAGAAGCTATAGGTTTTCCTCAACACTAATTTATCAATATCAGATGGGTTTTGTGGATATTATAGTAATTTCAATGGTAAAGATCATAAGTCTGTTGAAGCTAGACCACCACGGAAAACCTGGGAGCACTAGACGGTCGTTTCGTCCTATTGTGGGACTCCTCAGCAGTGCGCATCCACGACCTCGCCCTCGGCGAGATTCGAACACAGGACGTAAGTCGCGCGCGAGCGCTTAACCACTAGACTACTGAACTAACCGGCACCCAACGGTGTTATTATCTAACTTCAACTAATCTACGAAATTGAGCGACACATCCACCACTGTCTTCAGTGAGTTACTATCTCACAACAGACCTGATTGAACTCCACTGGTCACTATTTCTCACTAGAACTCGATGAAATACCTCTCGAAGCCAGTCACTAGTGAGCATATGTTGATCAATATCAGGTGAGTTTTGTGGATATTATGGTAATTTTAATGGTTGAGATCATGAGTCCCACAATAGGACGAAACGGCCGTCCAGTGCTTCCAGGTTTTCCATAGTGCTCTAGCTTCAACTGACTCATGATCTTAACAATTGAAGTTACTAATTCACCAGTGAATAGCCAAAAATGATTGCTGCTATTTACGAGATTAACTGATTGCTTAGTAAGAAAGTTGGTACCTGTAGTGATTCCACACAAAATGTGACAATGTATACTAATTGCACTGACTTTCATCATTAATGTAGATAGTGTTCCTGATCATACAATATCAAAACCCTAAGGGTTGCTACAAGCCATGAATTGATGACAGAGAGTTGCAGTGTAGTTTTGTTAAAAGATTTGAGATGTTATGTCCGTACTACATCGTCGTGAGTTGCTTTGGTAGAGATATTTTAGAATGTCATGCCATACCGTGTTAAAATCCATATGCATTACTGTATCCAATCACCCATTACATCCTTCACAAATGAGACCGATACTACGAGAAACAGATTACAAGTTGCTAAACGAAGATTTTGCAATTTTATTGAATGATTACCAGCTGAAATGGGTTAGTAGAAAAAGTGGTACTAACTACACAGGTGGGGAGACTTACAAAGTGATAGGATGTTGCAGGCATAAATACTGCGGGGACTAACACAGACCACCTGTACTCTTTCCTGAATAGATCTCGGGTGACAAGTTATCCCATAGCTAAAAATTACTAAGGATAGTTCTTGAAATCTTATGAAATAAAGACCATTTCATAGAACACATTGAGATATTCTAAACCTTATTTCAGAACTAGAGGATTCATTGACAAGGTCTAAGACTGGTAGAATGGTGGGGATTATATTAAAACACATTACCCAAACTCGATCTACACTTAAGAAATAATATTTCCAAGCACAAAAATACGATGTAATTCGGTATTACTTATTTTTGCGAAGTTATATAATGACTTTAATTTACAATGTGCCGTTTACATATATATATATATATATATATATATATATATAAACGGCATTGCTTCAAAATTAAAAGGAATTTGAATATTTTGGCTTATAAATCTAAATAAACTACTCGCACCATGCGGAATTTACTTCTGGTTAATTTATACGTGCTTCGCGAAAAAAGAGCAGAAAGTAGGCGAAGGTCAATCCTGAAAATACGACAAACATGAAAGAAGCGTACATGTCAAGCAACGCGCATAGCACAAAGGTCCAATAAAACCAGTAACTGTACGACGAGCATGAATAAACCGAATGTTACCAGCAAAAGGTTTGCTCGAAAGGCATTTTTGTAACAGTTAGAGTAAGATTTCGAATCGTAGAATGCCAGCACTCCTAAATTTTTTTTCAACTTGGGATAATTCTTGAGTTGTAACTGTAGTATGTAACGTGTCTCTGATGGACAACTTCACACTTTTGAGTGTTAACCGTAAGTCTGTTGTCATCTGTCCAACTTTTAAGTGCCAGTATATCCTCTTGGTTGCGTATCTCTCCCTCCAACTTTTCACATCATCAGCAAAAAGTAATAAGCCAGGTGCCTGTTGTAGAAGATTGTTTTTATAAATCATGAAGAGATTTCAGTACTGAATCCTGAGGGACTCCACTAGGACATTCCATAGCCTGAGAGAAAGTGAAGCTGTTTCCCACAGTATAGCATAAAGATCCATATCCGGCCTGCCACAGAAAGTTGAAAGTGAAGAGCAGCACAACGTGTGAAATAGGGGTTCCTGACGAAAGCACTTTACATCGATTCGGTGTCCATCAACCGTCTCGAGAATAATATCAAAGGTTGCCCGGTGTTGTTTAATATTCGTTTCAAAACCCCTCTGACTGCCGAGTAGGATGCGCCTACCGCGATACTAATGGGCGTTTTGGTACTGTGGTGTGCGAGCATAGTTTCTTTTGTGATACTTTCTTTGACTATGAAGAGTCGGCCTCTAAGGTCTCCAGGCTTATGGACAGCCCATTTCAAAGTGACGTGAGTTTCCGAAACATCACTAGTGAACATTTTAAGCTTGAAGTACAGGTTAAAATCGCGCAATAATGCCTTCACCGCTGCAAAGGATTATGCAAGTTGGTCTGTCACACTGTGCCCGCGGGAGTCAAGTTATGCGTAACAGAACCAGGTTTCCATATTGTCGGGCCAGAATGGCATTAGATGAAATGTGGTATGGGAAAGAGTCTTAATCTTAAATAGATTACGTTTATGTTCCATCATGATAAAAATATGACATACCAGTGGACGAGAAAAATATCCAAGAATGTAAAAGACAATACCGCAATATGTAAAGGATAAAAATTAAACATTAATAGATAAATTTTCGACGGGGGACAGACTTAAAGTTTACTTTTTGGTAAACCAGATCACGCCGGCTCATCAACTATGTCCATTATGTAGTTACTTGTTTACCGGCTTCCATATTGAAATGAATCTTTCGGATGCGCATACAAAGTGTGACCACACGGCAGCATGTAGTCATTGAAACTCTCACAAGCGCATCGTGCACATGAATTATCAAGAACATACATCATGACTTTGTCTCAGCAGCTGATGTATTCTCCTGCTATAATTTTATCTGCAAAGGTCGTGAACTCATTTAAGTGTTTGGAATGGCCTTGGAACCTGGAATTAGTAATACATTTAACTATATTTCTTGCCCCAAGCTCTGAAAAAAGTTGGAAATCCTTTATAGCGTTATATAGACGCGAACATAGGTCAGCGTGTCTTGCTCCAGATTTTCCAGAACGTCAGTAAGATGGAATCACTTCTTCTGAGACATCCTTTTAAGTGTTTATGAACACTTTCTACACGATTGTTCATGTGATTGCCCAGGCTTAGTACATACCGCTGGTAACAGCGAGCTCACATTGACTTTCGGGCAATCCAGTTATATCTTATATAATCGTAAGCCCGCGGGAAATGGGTTCTCAGATATTCACACTTCTGAGTGAATCTAAATATAATGCGTTATGAAAATCGAAGCTCGTATGTTTTTACTAGATGTTCTAAGCATTTGAGAACATTGGGATTTTCTAACTACGGCGAATAATTTAAACAGTTAACACTTGTCTTCCTGAAAAATGCTCTTAAAACATAGAACGACCACAGTATTATATCGACATAACTGTGCGTAGACTGTACCGCTGAAATTTCGATCACTACCGAATCAATAACGAATGTGAGTGTATCATAGGTACCGCACACTATGTCTTTGAAGTATTAGAATAATCTTACGACGTCTTCGCGTCGTTCTTTTCTGCGAAGAGCATACACAATAGTGTGTCATTGCCCAAGACTACCAGTAGCCACTAGCTGGAACAGTGGAAAATAAATTTCTTATCATCCCTTACTTACCCAACTTTGTTGGTTTAGTAACTCGAGTCAGCACGTACCACCTCTGGAAATGCGTGGTAAATCACTATTTGTTCTCTGCGACGGTTTTACTGCACGAACTCAAAATCCATTTTGAAAGTAGCAATATTTCGACCTGAAGGATGAATTCATTAGAAGTAAAGCTCACGTAGGTGACCGATGTCGTCTTCTTTTTCTATATTGTGATGGTCCGTTAGAAGTTGTATGCTCTTCGGAAGAATGATGATCACTATTATCATCTGATTCTGACGAAATGCGTTCACGTTCATATGTGCAGACATATTCGACGAAAGAATACTCTAGAGTTGGGTCATTGTTATTATTTTTACATAGCAACATGACATAACTAGTGTGCATATACTGTAAAAATAATTATCAAGCACAGAAATCCTGTTACTTGAAGTACTTCTTTCAAACAGGTCTCAAAATCG